CCACAGTGGCTTTAACAAGCAAATTTCGTCTTTCATAGTGTGTGGTTGTTGTTAGGTGCTGTTGAGTTGGTACTACTCATAGCAACCTTATACACAACAACACAAAACACTGCCTGGTCCTGTGTCCACCTCACAGGTGTTCTTGCTTCAGCCTATTGCTGCTGCCACTATGTCAATACATCTCATTGGAGGGTCTTCATCTTTTTGCTGACCCCTCACTTTACCAAGCATGATGTCCTTCTCCAGGAACTGGCCCCTCCGGATAATATGTCCAAGGTATGAGAGACCAAGTCTGGTCATCCTGGCTTCAAAGGAACATTCTGGCTCTATTTCTTCCAACCCAGATAGGTTTGTTCTTTTCGTGTCCATGGTACTTTCTACATTCTCTTCCAATTGTTGTTGTTAGGTGCCATCGAGTCGGTACCAACCCACAGCGACCTTATAAGTACAGTAGAATGAAACACTGCCCGATCCTGGGCCAACCTCACTACAGTTGCCACGCTTGAGTCCATCGATGCTGCCACTTGGCCAAGCCATCTCGTTAGGGGTTTTCCTCTTTTTCTCTGGCCCTCCACCTTACCAAACATGATACCCTAACTCAAATGTATCAATTCTTCTATGGTCTTTTAGTCACTGTCCAGCTTTCACATGCATATGAGGTTACTGAAAATATCGTGACTTGTGTCAGGCGGACCTAAGTCCTCAAACTGACAACTTGGCTCTTCAGCACTTTAAAGAGGTCTTGTGCAGCAGATTTGCCCAATGAAATTCATCATTTGATTTCTTGACTGCTGTTTCCATGAGTGTTGATGGTTGATACAAGCAAAATGAAGTCTTTGCCAACTTCAATCTATTCTCCGTTTGTCTTGATGTTATTTATTGGTTCAGTGGTGAGGATTTTTGTTTTCTTTACATCGAGAGGCAAGCCATACCAAAGGTTGTGGTCTGTGATCATCATCAGTAAGTGTTTTAGTTTAGGAGATTAAAAGTGCAAATTCAGAATGCTGGCTCTGGGGGAAAGGCTCTCTCTCTGTGTTGGCTCTCCTTTCAGCATCTGTAGACCCAGCAATCCATGCATCTTGACAAGCATCTTCCTCTGGATCTAGAAGCTTCACAGCTCAGGGACCCAGATCCAAAGCACACACTTCCCTTCAGCCTCTTTTTTCTTGCTGGTAACAAACAGGTCCTCTTTCTCTGTTTGCCTCTCTCTCCTTTTATCTCTTATAAGATAAAAGATGTTGCCGGTCACACCCCTGGGAAACTCCCTTACATCAGACCTGGGCTGTGATGGGATTAAGGGTATACAGTCTACCCTTAATCCTTTTATTGGTTTATCCCATATGGGGAATCATCATATAACTTCCACATTACATCATTACAAAACTGCCAAACCACTGAGGATCATGACCCAGGCAAGTCGACGTATCTTGGGAGATACAATTCAATGTATGGCATGGCCTAATAGTGATGCTCAGCAGATGTGTTCTTTAAACAAAATCAGCTGCCTGTTCCTTCAGCTTCAGTTGAGATGTTCTCTCAGGGACACTTTTCAGAACACCTGGAGTGTGAACTGCACCCCACCCCACCCCACCCCTACCAACTTTAATTTAGCAAACTCTATAGGGAGTCCTGAAGAGCTCTGGTAGCGTAGTGGTTACGAATATGGCTGTGAACCTCAAGGTCAGCAGTTCGAAGTGACCAGCTACTCCTCGGGAGAAAGATGAGGCTTTCTGCTCCCGTAAAGATGTACAGCCTCGGAAAACCTGTACAAGGTTGCTATGAATTGGAACCGACTCCATGGCATATAACAACAACAACAACATATGGAGTCCCGGTGGGTGTGGTGCTTTGGGTTAATGCGGTAGACTGCAAGTTTGGTTTGAACTGCAAGGTCAGCAGCTCAAGTTCACCAGCTGCTCCTTGGAACCTCTCTACAGGGTCGCTAAAGTCTGAATTGACTTGATGGCCCTGTGGGATAATGTTCTGGACCACATGGTCTGTTTGAACTGCATGGTTGGTGGTTCAAACTCACAAGCCCTTCCTTGGAAACCTTATACAGGGTCACTATGAGTCAGCGTTGACTCGATGGCACTTAACAACATTGTTGTTGCTGTTGTTAAGTGCCGTCGAGGCAGTTCTGAACCATAGTGACCCTGTATAGGGTTTTGAGGAGCAGCTGGTGCTGGTAAGCTTGAACCTTACAGTTCAAACAGTTTTGCAATCTGGCTCACGAACCCATAGCAGCACAAAAGAAGTCCAACAACTACATTACACTAATGTAATGTTGTACAAGAAAGTGTGAAATACACCTTAGAGTTTGAACTCTGGATATCGCTTATGTAAACTCTTAATTACTTATGTAAACTCTTGATTACTTCCTTTGTACAGAGAATGCATATGCTGTCCTCATCCCCAGACAGTCATTCTCCTTTTCAAAGTTCTGCAGGTGAGTCTACTGTGCAGTTCTGACAGCCACTGTTGGGGGTAGGGGCAAGGTTACAGTCTGCTCAAGACTAAACCCATGAATAGGATCAATTCTGACATGCAGCCAACCAACCCTATAGGACACAGTGGAACTGCCACATAGGGGTTCCAAACCCAAGCACACTGCTGCATCAAACAGTCAAGTATCTAATGACTGTGCTGCCAAGGCCCCCATGTGTTCGAAAGGGAAAAGTGAATGGTATTGGGTAAAAGATGTTCAGTTAGTACCACTCTCATCAGAGAGGGTCTGTGAAATAAGGAAGCAGTGACGTGTCCAACTGTGGGAATAGAAGTAAATACTGTTGAATGGTGACGCACAGAGGAGATTGTAATCATTGCAATGAAACGATGAGTGTAAAACTGATGTTTCCCCATGTAAACTAGTACTCAAGTCACAATAAAAACTGTACAAAAAGAAATGTTCAACTTCGCAAAATAAAGAGGAGCAAAAAAAAAAAAAGTCAAAATTCCGTCCACAAGGGCAGGTCTTTATTTCAATCCATTATCCTCTGTTTTATTCCATTACCCTTAACATTGTTGTCATGTGCTGTCGAGTCAGTTCCCAATCACAGCATTTGTATAGGGTTTCTGAGGAGCGGTTGGTGAACTAGAACCGCTGGCTTTAGGGTTCAAATCGACCTTGCAGTGCAGTGCATTAACCCACAGTGCCATACAGGACTCTATCCTTACATTACAAAGACTAAACTAACTTTCAAACTTTTCACTAACTTTCAAACTTTTCACTAAATATCAGACTTTCAGAATTGGCCACAGAGCACTCTCAACCTGAGGCCTTGCTCTCTGCTTTGAGCAAAGGTCGGGAAGGAGGAGGTCTAGGCCGCGGCCATATCTTTAAGCAAATGGTCTCTGTTAACTTCTTTGCTTCCCAGGAGGCTCGTAGAAAGCCTGGGGAGCTGCCGGCGAGGCTGCGCTGAGATCCCTAGGACCCGCCAGACTGAGTTCAGCAGCGGATGGAGTTTGAAGAGCTGACTGCTGTGTGGTTTGGATTCCCCGCCAGGCAGGGTCGGGCGGCCGAGTTCCCTGGGGCGGTGACCTCGCCGGCCAGACGTCCGGCAGAGTGGAGGCGGAGGGCCTGCAGGGGAGTGGGAGGCCAGCGGAGCACAGCGCTCGCGTCTAGGCGCACCGTCCACGCCGGGGGGCGCCCTTCCAGCTCACTGGGACTGCCGACTGCCCGCGCGCCCCGGCCCCGCCTCCGCTCCCCGGGAGCCGCTGCCGAGACACAGGAGCGGCGGAGGGAAGTCGAGCCTCCTCCTGCTGCTCATCGACTGCGAGTCTGTGTGTCCACCCGCACGGACTGGTTGCTGGCCTCAGAGGAAGGACGAAGGAGAGGGTCGAGCGGAGCCGCCGGGAGGCAGTTCCAGGCTCCAGGAGCGGCTGCGCGCGGAGCCGCTCGGACCGTGCCGCTCCTCGGGACAATGGGGGCGCGGCGGCTGCTGCTGGTCGCGCTCGGACTCGGTCTGTGCGGGCCGCTGCTGTCTGTCCGCACTCGGACTCGCCGGCCAGGTGAGAGCTGCCGCGGTTTTCCTTTCCTGCCACTTTCGACCCCGCAGCCGGGGGGACTCTGCGGGAGTGGGTGGGCGGGAGGAGTTGGGCAGTTGTAGGAGGATAGCTGTGCCTTTGAGCGGAACTAAACGGGTACAGATTGTGCGTTCACCTAGAGAGGGCCACCCTCACCTCCGGCCGCACCTTCTGCCTCAGTTTCCACCAGAAGCCAAACAGGCATTTTGGTTAAGATCTAGAGTCTCAATCCGATCTAGGCGGGGCGTGCCCACCTCCTTTAGCTGGCTCAGCGGATGCCCTTCTGGTCAGGTTGTGAAGGGGGCTGCGGGCCTGCGATGTAGTGTTGGATGTGGACAAAAAGGGGTCCGGTTTCTCCTCTGGGAGCTTACGGTCCCCGCTGCGTTTGTTCATTGTGTGGCCTATTTTCCCCATAGATAGCCTAGGACAGCCCCACAAAGAAAGGGTCTCACATCGTTTCCTTCCTTTCTTTATAAAGGGAGGAAACACGCCTGCTGAAGTTCTGGTTGACTGTTGTGTTTTTCCAAGAAAAATCCTGTCCCTTAGAACGTTAAGAAGAGAACTAGTACCAGCCCTTGTACTCCGGAGGAGTCCCCAGTGCTAGGGATAGGGCCATAATAAACATACAGCAGGTGGTGTTGGGAGGTTTTGTATGGGTTACCCAAACAACCCAAACCTTCCAATTGATTTGAAGAAAGGTCTCCTCTCCTTAAAGCTTCAGGCACCGCTGAGTCTCTGATCTGCTTCAAGTTGTCTCCTTTGTTTATCTCCTAGAATGCGTTTCCCACTATAAGTGCAAGCATCTGGCTACTTGGCCAAATAAGTAAATGTATTTCCCCTCACCACTTTCCAGCCTGCAAAGTTTCTAAGAAAAATGAGGGGAAAAAACAATAACAACAACCCCCCCACCCACCCACACACACACAAAGCTTAGTATCTTAATAGTCATATAAAAAACAAAAATCCAAACCCACTGCCTTCGGAGTCACTCATAGTGACTCCATGGGACAAAGTAGAACTGCTCTCATAGTGTTTCCTAGGCCTCATCTTTCTCACAAGGTGCAGTTGTGAATTCAAACCCAAGACCTTGTGCTAAGCAGCCACTGTTTAATCCACTGTGCCACCAGGGCGCCTTTTAATGTTCATTGTTGTGTTAAGTGCTGTTCAGTTAGTTCCAATTCATAGCGACCCTGGAGAGGGGTGGATTTGAACTGCCGATCTTGTAGTAGTAGCAGTCTATGCCTTATCTTATAGCACCACACCAGTACTGCTAAATATTCAAAAGCTTAGAGTACTCTGTAAACTTTTAGCAATTTTTTAAATGAGGAGACAAATTCTAGCTGATTTTCTTGCTTAGGATTTTCCTTCACAGCACACACACAGATTAAGAGGTGATGAAGACATAGCATTTTCTATGTTCTACATCAAGGAGCTCTGGTAGCGTAGTGGTTACGAATCGGGCTGCGAACCTTAAGGACAGCGGTTCGAAACTACCAGCCGCTCCGCGGGAGAAAGATGAGGCTTTCTACTCCCGTAAGGATTTACACCCTCGGAAACCCTGTACAGGGTTGCTATGGGTCGGAACCAACTCGACGGCACTTAACAACAACAACAACATCATTGAGAAGTATGAATATTCCTGAACACTTAATTGTGCTCATGAGGAATCTGTACCTGGACTAAAAGGCAGTTGTTGGAACTGAACACTGAATGGTTTAAAGTTAAGAAAGATGTGCGACAGCGTTGTATTCTTTCACCATACTTGTACAACCTGTATGCTGAGCAAATAATACGAGAAGCTGGGTTCTATGAAGAAAAACGTGGCATCAGGATTGGAGGAAGACTCATTAACAACCTGCAATATGCAGATGATACAACCTTGCTTGCTGAAAGTGAAGAAGACTTAAAATATTTATTGATGAAGATCAAAGAGCACAACCTTCGGTATGGATTACATCTCAGAGTAAAGAAAACGAAAATCCTCACCACAGGACCAATAAACAATATTCTTATTAATAGAGAAAAGATTGAAGTTGTCAAGGACTTCATTCTTCTTGGATCAACTGTCAACACTCATGGAAGCAGCAGTCATGAAATCAAACGACGTATTGCATTAGGCAAATCTGCTGCACAAGACCTTTTTCAAGTGTTGAAGAGCAAAGATGTCAGCTTGAGGACTAAGGTGCACCTGACCCAAGCCATGGTATTTTCAATAACCTCATATGGATGCGAAAGCTGGACAGTGAATAAGGAAGACCGTAGAAGAATTGATACTTTTGAGTTATGGTGTTGGAGGAAAATATTGAAAGTGTCATGGGCTACCAAAAGAACAAACAGATCCATTTTGGAAGAAGTGCAGCCAGAGTGCTCCTTGAAGGCTAAGATGGCCAAACTTCATCTCTCATACTTCAGACATATTGTCAGGAGGAACCAGTCACTGGAGAGGGATATCATGTTTGGTAAGGTGGAGGGTCAGATAAAAAGAGGAAGACCCCCAGCGAGATGGATTGGTAAAGGGGCAGCATCGGTGGGCTCAAGCGTGGCAACGATAGTAAGGTTCGCTCAGGATTGGCCAGTGTTTTGTTCTGCTGTGTGTAAGGTTGCTATGAGTCGGCACTGACTCAGCACCTAACAACAACAACAACAGCATTGATGGAGATGATTTTGCAGAGAGTGATTTTGGGAAAACAAAGAGCCCCAGACAGGGACCCAAAGTTTAGCAGCACCTAGCCAATTTGACTGTGGCTAACAAGAGCATTCTGCCAGAGAAAGATGAGGTGTTCTGTTCCCATAAAGATTTGCAACCTCAGAAACCCTGTGCAGAGTCAGTATGAGTAGGAACCGACTCCATGGTACTTAACAACAACATGAACATTACCTTTGAGGGGGCTGACTGAATGTGAAGTCCTGCAAACTTGTGTGTATACATGATACGGAAATCACTTTGTAACTTGCTCCATTTTATTTTGTGACAAGTTCCTGAGAATATTCTACAGTTTTGCTTGAGCTCTGTCTGCATGAGGCGTGGAGAACAGATTTATACAAATATATTGTATGCACTTTAGCAACCTTTGCTCACAGTGTTCCACCAGGAAGGTTTCCGGCTTCGATTAGGGAGTGGAGTTACAGATCCTGCCATTCGTCTTACTTCCTTACATAAGGATTGGTGTGTGCTAAGATGGATAACACTGGTGTAGACAGATCCAGGAAGAACAGACAGGCAAGTGGGCAAGCATTGACGAATTTCTCTGCACTGGGTTCGGAACCACTCTGAATGAGAAAGAAGAGGAGGATGCGAGGAGGATGTGTTAAGCCCCATATTCCATGTCAGTTACTGGAGAGACATTTTCACTTCAATTACTTCATTTCACTCTCTCAAAAAAACCTGTTTAAGGTCATTTTAAATCCTCTTTTCTGATTATAAAACTAAGGCTCGAAAGAATGACATACCAAATTGGAGAATGGACAGTAGACAGTAGACAGATATATGTGTCCCTTACCAGCCTGCAGCCAATAAGTGTTGTTGTTAGATGCTGTCAAGTCTGTTCCTACTCATAGCAATCCTATGCACAACAGAACAAAATGCTGCTTGATCCTGCGCTATCCTCAGATTCGCTGTCATGCTTGAGCCTATGGCTGCTTCCACTGTACCACCCAATCTCATTGGGGGGGTGAGGGGGTCTTCCTCTATTTTACTGACCTTCCACTTTACCAAGCATGGTGTCCTTCTCCAGGGACTGGTCCCTCCTAGCAACATGTCCAAAGTATGAGAGATGACGTCTGTCCATCCTGGCTTCTAAGGAGCATTCTAGGTGCACTTTTTCCAACAATAAATGTTACACTGTCTTTAAGCCCCAAATCCACTGCCAACTCATAGCGACCCTGCAGAACACAGTGAAACTGCTCCTTGGGTTTCTGAGGCTATAAATATTTTTTTGGAGTAAATAGTCTGATCGTTAGCCCATGAAGCAGTTGGTGGGTTTGAACCTTGAGGTTAACAGCCCAATATTTAACCTGGAGGTTAACAGCCCAGTATTATTTAACCCATTATGCCATCAGGGCATTGTGTTTATATCTATTCCACAGCCATCAAGCTGATTCCGTCTCATAGTGATCCTATGTAGGGTTTCCAAAATTGTAAGTCTTTACAGGATCAGAAAGCCTCCCCTTTCTCCTATAAAGCCCCTGGTAGATTAGAACTGCTGACCTTGTGATTAGCAGCCCACCATGTCACCAGGGTTTCATAGTCAGTTCTAACTCACTAATAAAATGAACCGGGACTAGCACTTCTAAACAAAGTCCGTGATAAAAAGCTTCTCTCCCAGGCATCACTCCTACCACCCAACGGCCACACCCCTGCAACTCAAAAAGAAAAAGAGAGTATCATTTTTACCCAGGGTCACATCCCAGCTCATCATGGCTGGCTAGTGACCTCAGACCCCAGCTTTAAGATTGCCTTCCAGGGCTGACCCTGTCCACCCACTTGAATCTTCCCACAACACTCTGGGACATTTTGTCGTCACGCATTCTGGCATTTCCTGCATTGTCACTTTATGGGTGTCTTGTCTCTTGAGCTAAGATTATAAACTTTCATTTCTCCCCATGGAATCTAGGACAAATGTTTATTCAACAGACATTTATTTAGAAAGTCTTATGTTTGTCAACCACATTTACATTCCTTTGCTAATGTGAGTGAGATTACTTGCCTTCCTCAAAGAGGGTCAGTGTTCAAGAATAAAGAATGTTGTTGATAAATTTAATGAGGGTCTGGTGTCTAGTCTCTCGTCCCACACCACGGACTTGCCTGTGGATCCTTCTGAGAACAGTTCTGTGAGCTACAGAAGATGCATTAGAAGATGTGATACTCTGAAAAGTAATGTTAGTTGGGAAATCAGAGGACCACTGTAAACAGATCTTTGAGAGGATCTTCGAAGGCCCGCTGCTTGACAACAAAGTCCCTGTGAGAATAAGAGAGTATCAGGTGG